ATAGTCTGTGGGGCCATAGGCAGTGGAACTAGTATTTATTCTTAGTGCATGAACTGGTTCTTTGGAGCCCATTCCCTGTGGAGGGATACCTTGTTCATCCTAGATATGGGGTGGGGAGGGCGGGGAACAGGAGAACTTTGATGATTTCCCATGGGAAACCACCCTCTGGGAAGTGTGGATGTGGAGGTTGGATAGGGACATGGTGTGGGGAGTGGAATGGCAGGAGGGAGAGGAAACTGGGATAAGTATATACATAGGATTGTTTCTAATTTAATTAAAAATAAAATAAAAATATAACAATGACTCCCAGGGGAGGGTCTAGGCCCCTCTCTGGATGTAATGATAGACTATGGACACCCCCATGGAGAGTCTCACCCTCCCTGGGGAAATGAGGGGATATTGGAGGGGTTAGCGGGAGGGCATGGGAGGAGGGGAGGGAAAGGCAGAGGGACCTGGAATTGATATGTGAAGCAACCTTGTTTCTAATTTAAATTTAAAAATACAAGTTAAAAAAATAATTGCTGTTTTCAATTTGTCAAATTGATGTTATAGTTGGCATCATCACAGCTCACTTCTGCTTATATCACGTCATATTTACACCATCTATTCTCATCTTGGGAAATTACCATTCACTGAAATGCATACTTCCTTCACTCAGACCATATCCTTAAGCTCAATCAACAGGAAGAGTGTCTTCATTTCTGTAGTTTCACCAACCATGAACATTTTACATAGCAGGTGTCCAGGTAGCAAGGAATGAATAAACAAAAGACCTTTTGTTATTTTGAATAGCAATTTAAAATATTTTACACATTTTCTGTATATATGACAATGTCTTTTATGCTGCTCTACTAGGGAACCCTTACTTTTTGCTCTGAATAATTTTCAAGGCAGTACAATCAAGAAATTGCCATAGCAGAATTCCTTTCTATATAGTCTGCTTGTCCACCTCCTATGTTAACAGCATCATTGTCCTGTTTATTGATTTAACTATTATCTTCACTTTTTTGACAGAAATATATTTCCAAAATATATATTTGGATAATTCCATAGTATATCTACAAAAATGTCACAAGTGCAATCAGTGACTGTAAATGAAATAGTCCTATATTTTGAGCAGCACCCATGAAATCAACCAACATGCACCTACGCTGCTATTTCAAAGTTGAGTTTTATTTTACCTCAATGTCTCTGAATAGCTCTCATTAATGTTTTCACAGGAATATGATGATATCTGAAATGTCATTTACCTTATTTTCTTGTATCCTTGTGCTATTCACCAGATAGTGTGGCAAGAACACTTGCATACTTTGTTTTACATATGCTTTATCCAGTGTGGATGAATTGTAGTTCTTTTTTTAAATAATTGAAGAAACTGTTCTTAAAAATATGGATGACTGTCCTACCTCAGTATTCTTGTATGACAGAAGACTAATTTGAGAACCAAACTAATATGGAATCTCTTATCACTTAGCCCCAATCAGTGGGTATGCGTGTATGTTCATATATGCTTTGTAGTTTTGTATTATATAAAGTCATCACTATAATATGAACCTATTAAAATTACAAAATCTAATTTTTTCCTATTAGGATAACATTAAAGTCACATTATCAACTTTTTAAAGCAATAGCTCTATGAACTCCAAAATGTGTATTTCTAGTTAATGTTATTGGAAATTTACAATAAAAGTAAACCTCTGCTGTGTTGAATTAAGAGAATGGGAAATGCATCATTTTCACTGTCTTTTGAACAAAAATGACGGAAGTAATTTTCCTTTAAAATTATTTTTACTGTTTTTGAAAATAGATTTTATCATATAATTTATCTTGAATACATTTTCCCCTCCCTCTACTCCTCCCAGTTTCCCCTCACCTCCTCTTCATCCAGATCCAATCCCGTTATATCTCTCATAAGAAAAGACTTCTAAGAGATAATAGCCAAACATTACAAAATAAATTAAGATAAAACAAATACAATCACATCAAGGCTGGACAAGGTGAGTCACCAGAAGTAAAATATCCCCCAAAGAAGGCATAAGAATCAGAGACCTACTCATTCACACACTCATGAGTCCCAATATATTATTTTTAAGATGATAAAGTAATGAATTTCACTATGATACATAAATAATTATATTTGGTTCATATTTTCAGCTTTCTTGTCTTGCTTCACCATGCTCACCTGTCATTTGTCATTTCTGAAATTAGCCTACTTTTCAGTTTTATATAAAGTAATTCTGTAGATAAATATATTTATGTATTACAGGTTATATGCATCTCTAATTTTATGAACAATGTCATTGGAGTTACTGGAAACAGGACTTTGCTTCAGTAAAGAAGCCTATAGTGTAACAAACATGGTGTGTGTGGTAGATCTGAGGTATGGGACTTATGTTCCTGTCCCAAATATCTGCTTCAATTCTCAGGTGGTAAAACCACTTACTTAAATTAATTCCTCTTATCTATCTGCCACACTGGTTTTCTTTTTTCCTGTATGCTCTGCCTGCCCTTTGTGCAATAAAACAGGATATCTGGATGTAGAATCTTGATTAATATCAGAGGATTAAATGGAGAATAGCAGGGATGGTTATGTGCATGGAGAGTCTTTTGTAGGTGAGAGAAGATGAGCTGATGGGAAGGACAACTTATTTTCTTGATCATATTTACTCCATAATGGGCAGAGTTAGAGGTCTTACTGTGCTCTACATTGAAAGGAGAGGCTTGGAAGGAATGTGTTCTATCTGTTGGGTTATGTGAAGCTCTTAGGAGAGGAAACACTTTTTTCTCTGTAGCATAGGCAGCTGCCATCATAGGAAGTGGTCTGGACTGAGAGTCAGAGGTGTGGATTCAGTTAGTTCTCATCTATTTCTGCAGGTTTTTAGGAATACTGTCTTTATACTATACTCACAATTTCTTCACTTGTATAGGAAGCATTGGTGCTCGGTCCATATCCCCTTCAACTCTACAATTATTGATTACCCAAGTGCACATCTCTTTTCTGTTTCAAAGCCATTGCCCTTTCTACTTTATATTTATTTAAATTCTCACTCCTGTTTAGCTTTATATTTATTTGTTCATAGAGTCATACATCCATTCAACAAATAATTATTGAGTGTCTATGTTCCTGGCAGTAGTCTAGATTCATAGTATACAAGGGTGCTAACAGATAAAAACTCATGATCCATGAAGTTCTCACTGTGACTATAAGAATCAGGATAATAATATGAGATGAACATCTTCTATTGTTGGCAACTTTATAATATTGAAACTTTAAAACATAACTTTTTCTACTACCCCTTACTTTTTGAAATTTTTTCATACAACTTATTTTGATAACATTTCCCCTCCCCCCTCACTCCTTCTAGAACCTTCTCGTCCTGTCAACTACAATAAGAAAAAAAAACTTTTTAATCTTCAAATTTTACCTATTTATTTTCTTGTTTACAGTGTCTCTACAAATGATAGATGTTATTATATTGATCTCATGTGAATACCTAATGCAAACTAAACAGACTACTATGGAATTTCTTCTGAGCCCTTCATGTATTTTAGAAACTATGTAATATTTTTAAATTATTCATGTGTTGTATGCCTTCTTACAAAAATTATTCATCAGAAGCCTAAGATTATTTGTCTTATACATATCACCTAAATCACAATCATCCAACAACGGTAGAAAAACTAGTAGAATGGTTTGGAAAATAGTAAACTGTGAATGCAGGAAAAGGAAAAAATAACCCAATATAAATTTAAAAACTGATCTAGACATCTGTAAAATATAGGTCAATATACTTTAGTGTTATATAAAATAATTATGGAAGAAACAGTGGCACAATGAATGTATAGAATAAACCTGTGTTTGTGTAAGATTTTAATATTGAGAGTAATATAGCTAAAAGAAAGAATAACAAATAATAGGATGCAAAGAGCAGTAGGTAAATCACCTGTTCGTGTCATCAGTCTAACTTAATTGTTGCATTTAACATGATTGTTTTGAATTATACTCTTTAGAAGACTTGTGGCCGTGGAATACCAGTGACACCAAGGAAGTGTCACAATGGCAATGAGTATATGTCATTGTAACTCACACGGGATTCTTCAGTGTTAGCCAGCCATTTATACTGTTACTGGAATAAAGGTTTCTTGTCCTATATGCATTTGGATATATTGCTTAAAAATAGTAATGTCCAGATTCACAGAAAAGTTAGCACATGATGCCACTCAAACAACTTCAGTGCCTTGGTCAGACATTGCACATCAGGCACAGTACTCTGTCTTGTTCCAGTTTCAAATGTAGAGGCAATTCATCTTTCAGTGTCATAATTGCCAATCAATTAGATTAGATGCTTCATTAGGACACATTTTCTATCTATATAACAAGAAGTCCTACAGTTTTCTTGGATGTTTATTAAACACACATATTTAGTAACCGAAAAACTATGAGATAAATACTTCAGATTAAAGGGGAAGACAAAAGGAAAACAAACTGGCTGAGTAGGAGATAGGGCTGGAAAATAGAAATTCAAGTAATCATTGATATAATAACCCTTATATTGTGTTAAAAGGAGAAAATGATTACTACCAATTTGTTAATTGTGGAAAGACCTAGATAGCTTGTGAAGTATGTGTTGAAGAGGCAATTGAAATCAGTCATGTTTTCTGTTGGGATCCTACAACACAAATACTTTCATTTTATAAATTATAGAATTTAATCATCAAAAATTTTAAACCTTCCCAAATCTGTGTAACAAGAGAGAATGGAATATGAAGCTCCTGGCAATGCACCTTTTGTGCTCTCAACAATGAGACTTAAAGTTCTTAAAATGAAAGCATAACTAATGCATTTCATACTAATTTGGGGATTCACAAATAATGAATGAGTCAATCATTCTGGTTTTGGGGTGAATATGTTATATATTTGGTTTAATGATTGTACTAATCTTGACGCAAATTCAAGACTAATTTTCAAAGAAGTGATGGTTATTTGTCTTTATTCACAGACATCTTCTAATGTGATGCTGGGGCTGGATGTACTTAGGATTCCGTTCCAAGGTTGACTTGAAAGGAGTGTGGAAGGGTGAGAAGAGAGAGGTAAATCTTTATTTCGATCCTTAGTATTTTGGTTAAGTTTATCTACACAATTTTACAGAGTTCCTAATGGACCTCACATGTGTGTCAAGCTATAGCCATATGGACAATTATTACTTTTGATGAGATTGGCCATACTGCTTCTCTCTTGTTCTCTATATCACTCAACTTGCTCTCACGTTTTAAATATTAGCAAAAAGAAAGTAGAAATTTGGTTTTCACCTGCTGAAAAACATGATTTTGCAAGAAAAAAATCATTTGAGATCTGTTTGCTACCATTGTGCTGGTCTCTAAGGGTTGGCATTTTCACTAATAGTAGAATGTATGTATGTGTGTATGAGTCTATATATATATGTGTCTTTACAATTCAAACATATTAAAATCCCATCTCTTTATAAAGCCAAAGTCTTTTTAAAAATAAAAAGTAATCTCTTTAAAAGTTTAAGTTTATCAACTATGAGCTCCTCTCTAAAATCTAAATAAATGCTTCCTTATTCCAAAAGGGAATAACCAGTGCAGAATCACAAATCTAAACACAGCAAAACCAACTATAGTAAAAATAACTCAGTATTCAATGTTTGGGATTTACTTACGATTGTCTAGTCTCTTCCTAAAGGCTTGCCACAGAACAGATGGTTTATCTTGTCTGTTCAAACTGGCTCTACTCCATCATCTCTGCTATCCTTGGCAGTAGTCCAATCATACTGTCATCTCAAAATTGTTGGGGTCTCCTGCTGTAACTGATCTCCACTTTCATCAATAACTTCCCTTAGGCTCTTTTCATGGTGCCAAGCCTCATCTTCTCTGTATGACCCATTCAATCCTGGAGCTTTAACTGATATTAAGGCTGTGCTTCTGGCCTCTCACAGTTCCAAGCCTCAGATGATCTCCTTGATCCCCTTCATACCTTCAAAACAGGTACCCTCTGAGTGACTCTTAAACTACCAACTCCAATTTCCAGAATTATTTACAACCTTGGTGTCTTCTGAACAACAGCTTCCATGTGCTACCACTGAGAAAATACTCCCAGAATATTAAAACTCAATGATGCCCATCTCTTCTTAATTACTGGTAATTTCCTAGCTTCAGCTAACCAGCATCATTTGTCCCAGTAAAGCAAAAATTTCACTTTAGTAATGCTAGCCTCTGGTCAATGTGGATGATTCTTTATCCCCATCTGACCAGAACCATAAATTCTTAATTCAAAATAGTAAATGGTTCCAACTGAGCCTTTAAACTTCCTTATGACCATTTCAAGCCAGACTTCTGTCAACTGCACTGCTTTCTCAATTGTCTCCTAGGATCCAACAATACTACTCAAGGAACTTTATATATACATTGGCTTTTTAGCCCAAAGTTTCAAAGTCCTTCCACAATACAACCAGAAATAGCACAATTAAGTTTGTTACATCAATACCCCACTCCTGGTAACAATTACTGTTCTAGTCAGGTTTACTGTTGCTTCATTGACATGTCATGGCCAAAAGTAACTTGGACAGGAAAGGTTTACTTGTTTTGCATATCCTGAATCACAGTCCTTTGATGGAAACCAAGAAAATAACTCAAACTGTGCAGAAACCTGGAGGCTCCTCATGATTTAATTAGCTTTCCTTCATAAAGAACACAGGACCACCAGCCTGTGTTGGGGTGGCACCAACCACAATAGACTAAGCCATCCTACATAGTCACTAAATAAGAAAATGCATAATAGGTTTGCCTACAACCAAATCTTATGAGGGCATTTTCTCAGTTGATGTTCCCTCCTCTGAGATCAAGTTGACATAAAGTTATATAGAACACTCCTTTTGAACCACTCCTCATCTTTATACTTCTTACTAAAGTTCCCATAATATGTCTATGTTTGTTATGATTAAGAGTAAGTAAATAAAAATAAAATAAAACAGTTATTATCAGTAGATTATTAATGAATCATGAGAGAAATTATTTTGAAAGATGATGAATCCATTCCAAGAAGGGAATTTAGTTTCTTGTGTAGTTCCCAAAACTGCTTCAGAAACTTGCTAATTAAGGTTCAGTCATGATTGTTTGTAGTGGCAGGCCTTGTTTCTACAGGTCTAAATGAACATTAACCACACTTTGCTGTAAATAATGCATATGCATTATGCCAGAGGCTCACCATATTAGGAAAGTGTATTTTGAGAAGCATTTATTCTTGGACATTGATAGAATTATCAGCCCTTGAAAAAGAGGTATTACAGTAAGAATAAATTAATTAGAGATGCAGATTTGGGAATTAGGTTGACTTGTTTGTCTCCTTATAGTGATTCCAAATTCAAATTTTGAATAATTTATTACATAAAATTTATAATTACTCTACTTACAGAAAGGTACATTATAATTTATGATAAAAGTTTATTCACAGATAGCTATAGCTTAGCAATAAGGTATCTAAAATTCATTACATATTACAGTGTGGCTCATGGTACTTAGCTAGAGCTGAGCTTGATATTGTGCTTTCAGGAATCACCCAAAACCCAATAATTAACTTTTCTGCTATTTCCACTATTTGTGATTCTTCAGTTACATGCCTTGTGCTTGCCTTCATTATGGTAAAGTAATATTATTTTGCTATTTTCATTATTTCAGCCCCTTTGAAGCATGTTAATTTATTTTATAAGTATTTATTATAGTTCTGTCATTTCTTTTCTGTTTTCTAGCTGGGTCAAGACTTTATTTCATAGTGTCTTACCATGTAATATCTTCTCAGATTGTACACTTAGATAGTCATTGGCCTTATTCCACTGTGTCTGACAGAAATAAGTGATATATTATACCCCAAGCCCAGTATGTTATAGTTCCTTAGTAAGCATTTACTACAAATTATATCTATAAAATTATATTACCTATAAATTATTTATGTGACATCTTTTAAGTTTAGAACGTTGGTCTCTGTTCCAGCATTTAATTTAAGATGATGTTTTAAGGAATTTTTCCAGGATATTTCTAATATTATATGGACAAAAAAATAATTGGAGAATGGAAGTTACTCTCTTGAGGACAGGAATGGATGGCTCATGCCTGTATTCCAGCACTTGGAAGGCTGAAATCGGAGGATCACTATGATACTAAGGCGAGTGTTGGCCTCAGGGCAAGTTATATACAGGCCAGCCTGGTCTGGATGAAAGAGACCTTGACTCAGAAAGTTACTTTTCATCTCACAGCTTAGGAGATGATTACATTTGTAACTACATGAACTACTTGTTTGCAGATGCTGCAAGAGACAGAGACTCCAGTATCTTTCTTACATCTCCAAATTTCTGATTTTCCTGTCATTGTTTTTCCCCTTCTATTTTTAATGAGTTCTTCATGTGAGCAGCAATCTATGTCATGAGCTAATACATTGCCTGTTATGATTTTGATTATGAAAAATTTAAATATTCTATTTCTATGATTTTCCCTATGCCTCTTCCCAGTTCATCCCTGCTCTCTTCCCTCACAACTTCCTGAAAGGTTAATTCTGAACCATCCAACTAAACTGCTGTTTGCCTCTTCTGTCTCATTAATTTTGTGAGCTATAACATTTTTCTTCCTTATTTTACAGAGTTCGAGGATAACCTGTTAAAGCTCAATAGATAATTCCTATTAAGATAGTAATAAATAACCTACCTCTAAAACTAGTTTTATAAATTTTGGCACTATTTAAAACTATTTTTTATAAATGTTGGCACTGTTTCTGTCTTTGTAGGGAGTATGAGGATTAATACTAACCAAATATGCGATCTCCCAGGCAAATGTAATGGAAGTGTAGGTATTGATATTTATAAGATAGTGAGCCAAGTGGGAACAAGACTGGAAGTTTTTAGACTTCAACTGGAATACTGATTTCATAACACGGAAAGGCCACTTTTAATATCTTTTCAGATGATCACATCAGTATGAATGTTGCACTTTTATTTTGTGCTGATCCAATGAGAATTCTCTTATGGAAGTTCTGGGTGGAATGGTTTAAAACGCTCTTAGTGTTATAGGATGCTAATACACTGATCCTGTCCTGCTACCTTCTTGTTGTTCTTCCTAGTCTTTTGGAGCCATAGGAAATACGTTTAAGCAGAAGAATATAGATATGTACATTTAGATGTTTCAAGTGCTCTTTTTAAATGCTGAGTTCCCTAGAAAAATTATACATTTGGTTTCCATAAAAGTAAGCATGTTTTCACAAGTAACAGTTCAGCAATTTTTGTAAGAGATGTCACATGAAATCATCACTCCAAGTTGCTTTACTGTGGATGCGATATTGGTATCTGAGTAGAAATCTTGCATCACAAGAAAAATAAAAAAAATGAAAACGGAATTTTGTCATGTGCAATAGTTTGCATTTATAATTTTAGATTTATTGTTTAGTGATATGCACTTGCAAAATTTTGATACCATTACACAAAAAAGGAAAACATGGAATTCTAACTGGCCTGCTTTTCAACTCCACTGAAACATTAAGAACCATTTTAATGGTCTTTTTTGCGGAGAAGAGCACCATCACAATAATCTGCTTTTACAGCCCATATCAAGTATGAACCAGCATCATTTATTACAAAGTTTCTACTTGGGAAGACATTTTCAGAGCATCTAACAGTTTTACCCCACATTTCCTGGAATTAGTCTTTAATGATATCATTTGCCAAAATGAGTTGTTGCTCAAACTTTGTGAATGTCTTGTGGTGAAAATCTAATCCAGCAGCTGTATTAAAATGCCATGCAAATTGGTGAGAGAAGGCTCATTGGAACTACGGACACATTAGTAGTTGTATGAAAATGCCACAGAACGTAGCCCATGCGTACTTTGGTGTTTTAGTTTTGGTTTTTTCTTCCATTCCACATGGAATTTAGACATGTGGTGATTTCAAGCGTCTTTTATTATTATCTTCTCAAGAATAGAGGAGTGACTATAATTGTAGATTTCATGTAAGATAAAGTTGGACTCTGATTCCTCCGTTTTAGCTGTCAGCCTTATTAAGAAACTCCTCATGTGCTGCGCTCAGCACTGG